AGGACACTTTAGTTGAAGGGAATTTGAATACCCTGAAAGCAACCTACACATTTATTTCTTGTAATCTACTGATTGTAGGTGTGAAATTTCATTTGAACCACTATTGCAGTTTTGTCCTGAGACAAATATTTACTTGGTGCTTCCTTTTTATGTGTCTTCCCTCCCCTTAAAAAAACAAAGAAAGGTTTGCTGTTGTCATTTTATTGAGGGAGACAGCGGATACAGTAGGTTTGAAACCATGGATACTTTCAAAAATCCAAATTCTGAGGCTTCTGTCTTGAGTTGTCAAGTTGTGGCTAGTTCCCATCCACCATCAGCAGACCAGCTTTTTGAATCTATCATGCTCTACCTTTGGACAACCTAGTGGTGCAGGTAGCTTGTGGACAGTGTAGGGTGACTAGCTATTCCAGTTTTAGCTCTGAAAGTTCTGTGTTCCAGGAAACCCTTGGTCTGGACAGACAGAAAACTGAGACATTGGTGGTTTGTAGCAGTTAAGGGAGGATGGGAGGCCACTAGACAGGAAATGCTTTGGGGTGTTCTCTGTCTGGATTTGAATCCTCACTCCACCACCTACCATGTTTGTCACCTTCAGTAGATCACATCACCTCCCTGGTCCCGTGGAGAGCTTTGTAAAAGCAGAGATCTCTGTTAGAGCTGTGTGCTTGGCTTTTATCTTGCTGTTTATCCTCCCTTTTCACATGTTACTTACCAAAAGTGGAGAGAGCGAAGTTTGCATGTGAGAACAGAGTTTGTGCTGGCGAAGCAAACCTAGGGCTCCTGGCTCCCCCACTCCCCGAGCCCCGAGCATAGCACCGTCTGCATCACTGCAGTTGCAGTGGAGCCTATGCAGCAGCGGTCCTCTAGGACTCTCTGCCCGCGTAGTCCACGGTCTCTTGTAACTTGAGAGCAGCCTCTCTTCCTAGGAGACAGACCAAGCTCACTAAAGACAACCTTTCAGACTGGAAGAATCAGCTCTTGACCCTTCAGATGTTGAAAGCTGTGAGTCCTGTTCTAAGTCTTATTTCCCCATTTGGAGTCCCAGCTCTGCCCCTCACAAAGTGTGAAGCCTTGAGCAAGAGACCACTTCTTTTTTGGGCCTTAGTTTATCTGTAAAACAGGGATCATAACAATTGTTGTTAAGAGGTTTCAATGAGGTCGTTCCTGTTAAGCATTTAGCAGAGTGTCTGCCATGTAGTAAACAACAAATGGAAGGAATGAAATGATTCCATTTCCCAAGTGTCCCGAGGGTGTTGGAGCCAGCTCCTCTCTACCCCTTGCCCAGACTCCAAGCACCTCAGAGAGAGGAGCCACATCTTCTTGTATTTGTCTCTATGTCCACACCCAGCCCCTGCCTGGTAAATAGTAGGTGCTTAATAGTGTTGGTTTATGAGCTGCTGCTGCTGCTGCTATGACCTATCTTCCAGGATTAATAAGGGTAAGATAAAGAAAATGTATTTGCAAGTATACTATAAATTGAAAGTCCTAATGCTCAGTATGTCCCTCCGCTAAGATACTTAGCATAGTGCATTCTTCATTATTTGTTCAGTGTCTTTTCTGCTCACTAGTCTGTGCACCTCTCCAAAGCAGAGATACATCTCTCTGAATCCCACTGCAACACCTGTACAGTACCCTGCACACAGTAGGTGCTACTCAGGTAGTTTAATTGAATGTAAATGACATACAGTTGTAAGGAATCGTGGAACTATTCTTAGGGGAAGAATAAAGGACTGGTAAATACATACTGGTTCTTTCCTTCCTGATGCTACCTCCACACAAACAGACACTCATCTACTCCTAAAAACTTTTTCCCAGGGTAATGAGGAGATGGAGGGAAAAGGAGAGGCAGGAATAACAGTGTCTTTATCAGAGCAATTGCCTCCAGAAGCTAGTACTTAGGCACATCTTCATAAGCTCCTGGGTTGGAAGTTACTAAACCTATAACTTTAGCATTCCCTTTCTGATCATTATGAGCTAAAAACTGTTGAAGTGTTGGACATGCCCCAGGTGCACTGGCTGCAGAGTCATGTCAACTTCGTAGAGATTAGAGTTCCGCTCTCCTAAATGGACTGTTGGTGCCAGTATTTTGAGGTTCTGGGCTTGGTTGGGCAATCTTGGGAGGTAAGAAGTACCTAAGTGAGAGCCTTTCTGCTGACTCCTCATGGGGTCTTCTATCTCTCAGCTTCTCTTTGCATCCTCATTGGCTTAAATGAATATGCCTGTGTGCAAGGTCATTGTTACAATAGCTGATGGTGCTGAGAAAGGGCCTGTGCAAAGTCATGTTCTGAGATTGGCTCTTGAAAGTCCCTCTTCTTGGTCTTAGGAAGAAGGCCTGGCTGATGGGCTAGTAACACTGGGCAGGTGTATTTATGATAGGTCCAATCCACCAAGTCCCTGGCCCCCAGGCATTTCAGGGATCTACTCTTCTTTTTGCTTGGAGCCTAGACTGGCTTGTTCCTCCTATCTGGGAGGGTGATCCTGACTGTGAGCACAGGTTGGCTCCATTTCCCTAGGGGCAAGGAAGCCAGCAGCAGGACAGTTTGAAGACAGAGGTGCAGTGGGGAAACCCAAAGGCTAAGTTTTCAGAGAATCTACTGGGGATGCTGACTTGGTGCTAGTCAAAGCAGGAGCTGAAGCGCTTACTATTTTATAATAAATACTAATGAAATTCTAGATCTATAATAACATTTCAGATATCTGAAACAAACCATGTGCTTGTAAAAAAGTGGAAAGAGATCAACTTTAAGCCATAAATTCTTGGTAATAGAGGGTTTTTTTTCTATTTATGTTTGATAGATATTTTTGTTTCCAGAGGAATGTCAACTCCTAATTTCATAATGTATCATGGGCTTAAGAAAATTGAATTTAATAAAAGCCAGAGATGAATGGCATCCTTAAAGGTCCCAACACTTGTCTTTATTAGCAGGACAAACTGCAGGTCTCCAAACACTGCTTCTCTCCAAATGAAAGTTTAAATGAAAAGTACAGTTGTGTCACAGGTTAAATTTCATTGTGGGCCCAGCTAACATTGTTAGTGAGGAGCTGGCTGTATTTGTTTCTTTAGACACCAGGGCAGCCAAACTCACCAGGCTGTGGAGCCCCTGTTGGGGAAGTGCTGCTCCCACACAGTGGGAGGATAGATCAGAAATTCGGGTGTCAGATGAGCCCCACCTCAGAGTTAGCGCTTGGAAATCTTTGATTTCTGATTTTTCAGGGGGACCAATGTGTATTTTGCTTGTATGTGTGCCTCAGTTTTATTTTTTAGCACGAAATTCTCCTCTACCATCTCTGCTTAGTAGTGCTTTGTGAGGAATGAGAGAGGCCCAGGGAATTGGGATGAGTACCCCCCTCTCTTCGAGTTGGGAGGAAAGATACCACCTAATCTGAGCAGCAGCTAGGGCCTCCTTGCTGTGCCCCCTCTGCCTCAGCCTTGCTGCCCTTCCTATCTCCAGGGGCTCCTGTTAGCTTCCCCATCTTTGGGGATCAGCGCGGGGAGACCAGGCAAGCAGAACCTTTGAATTTCTCTGTTATGAAATCTGACTGCCTTGATTTGGTCTCCAGTCCTGCTTTTATGTGTTGGATAAAAATAGATGCTTTAAAAACAAGCGTGGTGGTATTAAGTGTGTTTGAGGAAGAGGCTACCTGGCTGCCCTGGGATATCAAGGAGATCGGCCATTTCTTCCATCTTCCATCTCGTCCTTGTCCTGCATGCAGTCAGGTGTCCACAGCTTCTGTGCTGCTCCTCCAGGCTGTCCCCGGAGAGAACCAGTTTGCCTTGATTTTAGTGATATGAGAAAGGTCCCCTCCAAAACTGGGGACCTGGGGTAGGGATGCTGCTGGAGCTGACTGCTGGGGCCACGGAGGGGGCAAAGCTCCCCTTCTCTCTCTGCAGTGGAGGTCTTTTCCACATGCTAATTTTACTTGGAGGATTTTGCTTTTTATTTATTTATTTTATTATTTCCTATTTGTCTCTTCCAGATGTTTTCAGGGCAGTTTTTTTGTGTTGTAAACTAATTCCATTCATGTTTTAAAAATTTATGAAAGCGCTAATAAAAATGTCAAAGTGGTAAAAATGTTAGCTTTTCCTCTGCTTTGATTAAATTTTGCAAACTGTTTTTGAATATTAAAAAGCAATAATTTTTTTTATTCTCTCTCCTCGCTTTCCCTCTTCTCTCTGGTGCGTGTGTGCTCTCCTGCCCTCTCCCCCCTCTGGTGCATTCCTCCCTTCCCAGGAGCGATGTATGAGGCGTGCTGCACAGCCAGCGTTCTGCAAGCCTGTTTGCACACCAGGACCTTGGTGCTGTGCATCTCTATTAAATAACGGAGACAAATTAATCTTAGAGACACCAAACAAATTGTCACTCCTCCTCCTTCTCTTCCATTACGTTCCAGTGGACTGGGAAGGGCTGGCTAAGTGATTGGGGGGAGCAGGCTGGGGGAGGGTGTACTGCCTGAAAGAAAGGTGGGAGGCACTAGCTCCTATTACTCTTACTCAGTTTTCTTCTTCTCTTTAGTATCCCCTTTGGCTTTATTTATTATTTATCTTTTCTTTTTTTTTTTTTTTTTTAATGAATGAAGAAACTCATCGGTTCTGCTTAAATTTAAATGTAGAGGGCTGTGATTGGTCTTGTGGCTGGAGATCCAGGCCCATCCAGGGCAGAGTCCTGGGCAAGGGGGAGGAGTGGGGCTACTTTCATGGGCTCCAGTGAACAGGCCTCTGGCAGAGAACCAGTTGGGGAAACTGGGGCAGCTTATACTACTGTCTTCTTTCCCCTTTCCAGAGACCGTAGGGATGGGGCATGTGTCTAGTCCTGGCCACCTGTGAGGGTGTTAACAGTGGGAAGGTTAGAATAAGAACTGAGCTGGCACCATTACACTCAGTCTTGGGTCTGGCCTGGCAGGAGCTAATGAGTCCAAAACATTCCCTCATTCTTGACTCTGAGTTATGAAATGGTTGGTTAAAAAAACGTATTCTTTTTTTTTCTGTATCTTTGCCATTCCAGGAAATTATCGAGTTCCCCATCCTGAAGCTAAATGGTCGAACCATGGAGATTGAGTCTACCTTTCACATGTATGTCCAGCCCGTAGTCCATCCACAGCTTACTCCCTTCTGTACAGAGGTAAGGGCCCTGGAGCTGGGCAGCAGGGGCTGCTGGGGCGGGAGCTTATGGGTCACTGGTGCTCTGTACATGCCATTTAGGGACAGCTTAAGTTTTATCAGTGGCTAAGGCAGGTGCATATTGGATTCAGCAGTTTTTATAAAGTCTGCCACTCCACTTGCACAACTGTAGTCATTGGGGACCCAAGGAGGGCACAATCTATCCCAGCTTCCCTAATATTTTCTCTTCCTTATCATCCCTACTCCTCCTGGTGTTGAGGCATTTGGAGTGGTATGCCACTCTAGGGTGGTGCTTTTGGGATTCAACTTTTTTTTTTTTAATTTTTAAATTATTTTAGTGTTTCTTTTATTTTTGAGAGAGAGAGAGAGAGAGAGAGAGAGGGCAAGCAAAGAGGGGCAGAGAGAGAGGGAGACACAGTATCCAAAGCAGGCTCCAGGCTCTGAGCTGTTAGCACAGAGCGCAACACGGGGCTCAAACTCACGAACTATGAGATCACGTCCTGAGCCAAAGTGGGTGCTTAACTGACTGAGCCACGCAGGCGCCCCTTGGGATTCAGCTTCTTTTCAGTTCCATTTCCGTTGGGGCTGCTTGACAAGATGTGAAGATTTCAGCTTCTTGGAGGGAGAGGTTGTATTCAGGCTGTCTTAGCTTTCTGGTGATGCTTTTCTGTCCTTGAGCAAAGAGGTCCTGTGTGAAGTGTTGGTTTAGTGGGAAGCAAAGCTGTATCATCAAGGAAAGAGAAGGGCAGTCCAAGTGGGGTATGAGGACAGCCTGGACAAGGCTGAAATATTCTTATCCTTATCCTTACCCTGTGCTGGGGTTATACTCCACCACCTTGCCAGCAGGTTAGTATTTGCCCCATTTTACAGATTGTGAAACTGGGACTAACTGAGATCTTGATGCTTGATGCAGCTCAGAAGAGCTGCTAGGAGCAGAGAGGAGGTACCCCTGAAGGATTCTCATTCTCCGGCCTGTATGGAGAAGCCTTCTGTGGCTGCTTTCCTCTGTGATGTGTTGTGTTATAAACTCTGTGGTAGCCACAGGCTGTGGTGGAATCATGGGCCAAGTATGTATGGCAGCAGAAGGTAACGGGAAAACATGAGTGTTCCTGGAATCTTTTTAAGAATTTGGGGGCTGGGGTATATTCGAGACTTTGTGCCTTCTTTTAGAGATCTACTTGCTAAGTATGAGTGAAACATGAGGAAAGGAGTTCTTAAGTGATCCCAAAACAATCGTCTTGGTGTGGAGAATGCTGGGAAAGGGCCTGCCTGCCACTGGGGGGAAGGCCGCGTGGGCTCTGAGGCTGACTCAGCCCAGATACAAAGTCTGAGGGTCGCTCCTGGGCTTGATGCCAGTGTTTGCCGCCCAACCCAGGTGGGCCTTTTGGTGCAGGTATCCATCTGCCAAGGTGTCTAGTCTCTCATGCCTTTTGTTGTTTCCAGTAATGATGTTGAGATTCTTACTCCCTCTGGGATCTACATACCCGCCCCCGCAACCCTTGCCCCTGGGAATTACCAGTACCACCAGGGGGCGCTAATCTGTTCTTTTTGCCCCTTACGGAAAAAATCAAATTTTAATGATGGCAAAAATCCCATTCCATATGGGAAGGGAAGACTTTCCTAAAACAAGCCAGTTACCTGAACCTCCACTAGCCTGAAAGTGCAGTGTCCTCTTGTCCTTCTCTTCCTCCTCTCTGTGTGCAGATTGCCCCTTGGGGGCTTCAGCTGCAGCTAGGCTGCCTGGTGCAGTGGGGCAGGCCCAAATTTGAGAAAGGTTGCTGGCTGTTTAGGGATGGAACAGCACGGCGGAAGCTCATCTCTGGGCAGGAGTGGATGCTTGAGAGTAATGGGAAAAGGGATCTTTTGGAATCAGGACTGCTACTGCTTCTTTGGGGAGGTATGGGAGGAGGGATTGTGAGATTGTGATGGGAGATATTTTTCTTTTTTGTAGAAAGTTTCACCCCAAGACACAAATACATAATTTGGAGGGCAGGAGGCATGGTGGGTTGGGACCGTTGTTCTGAAGCCTTATCTGAAAGTGAAAATATGGCTGTGCTGTGGCAACAAGTGTGCCATTTCACCTCAGGCCTCCAGAGCCCCCAATTCTCCCTGACCTGTTCCCTGCCTTTTTGTCCAGCCTCACATCTCCCTGCTTCACACCCCCTCACTTCCCTCACAGTGTGCCTCTGCACATGATGCTCCTCCTGCCTGTATGCTGCTCCCACTCTCCACCCACCCCCCTTCTTGTCCTCTAGGACTTTGCTCAGGGTCACCTTCTCTGGGGAGCCTCCCCTGAGCCCCTGGCTGATCCCACTACACAAAGCGCTGATCAGATGCATTAAACTGTATATACTTATCTGTCTCCCCACTAGATTGTGAGTTCCTTGAGGGCAAGAACCAGATCTGATCCATCTCCGTCCCATCATTAGGGCCTGGTGCCAAGTAAACACTTGACACATGTTCCTTAAATGAATGAATATTATTAAAGAGCTATTTAGCCACACCTTTCTCCCTGCCACCCCTGACCCCAAGTAACTGTACTGCTGACTCTCTTTTGAGTAAGTGAAGTCTTCTTTGGAAAACCTCAGATCATCCAAATGTTGCTCTGTCTCTATACCAGATGGAGTTGTAATGTAGAGAGAGGCATGGACAAAGGATGGGAGCCATCGTTGTGGGGCCTAATCCAGCATGGCAGTAGCTGCCTTTGGGGTAGAGATAGAGATCATCAGAATCAGAGGGAATTTTTTCCTTAGTAAGTGTGAGGAACAACTCAAAACCTGTGGATTGTGCCTCAGCAGTTCCTCTAGTAGGATATTCTCTTGTGCACAAGAAGTTCTTAAGAACCCTGGTCTGTGTGCATGTGTGTGTGCATGCATGCATGCCTGTGACACGTGAGTACACATATGAGCACATGCTTGTGTGGGGGGAGAGACAGGCTCGGCAGGAAGAGGCATTCTGCCTTGAGTGGGTCTGTAGCCCACATATAGACACTCACTCTTACTGCTCTGTGTAATGGACATGTTATTAGCCTGCTTGAGATTCTTTCTTAGTACCCGTTGATAGTCTGCCTGGAGACTTATTTCTGATAGAGACAGGATGAGACATGTTTCATTCCTTCCCAAGCCCTTTCCCTACCACCTCTAAAATCTGCTCCAGCTCATCAGATCTCTGCCTCTAGCAGCTGGGCTGCTGCACAGTCCCTGACCATGTGTAGTCTTTTTTGTTGTTGTTGTCATTGTCTTAAAAAAAAAAAACAAAAAAAAAAAAACACCCATTTTGCTAAATGCCAGTAAAGGGCTTTGTCTTGCACCTGTACTTATAAAGGCTGAGATTTATTGGTCTCTTTGTCTGAGGAGAAAGAGTGGGTCTGATTATCAGATTGCACACCAGAGACAAGTGCTTATGTAATCAACAAACTGTCTTGGTGTCAGAATACGATTGTGTTGGAGATAAACTGTGAAAGGAGAAAGGCTGGATGCTGACATTCTATTGGCACTGAGTGGCCTGGGCTGCTTCCTGTAGTTGCCAGTGTTTATGATGAAGCCAGCTTGTTCCTGGACAAAGCCCTTGTGTGGGTAGGGGATCTCAGCAACCAGTCATGTTATCAGTCAGGGTCAAAAGCCCTCGCCTTGTGGTTTCCGAGTCTGGAGAAGCGGGAGTTAATCTGTAATCCCTCGGTGAAAGGAGCCACAGAGCACACATTAATTCTTCCTCTCACCTCTCCAGCTTTAAGTGGTTAAGGTCTCTGAGCTCTGTTTAGCCTGTGAGCCCTGGTTCTCAGCTTAATAATACTTGGCTTTGCTCTAGTACCTTTCATTGTGAGGATGTGAAAGCTTTTTACAAATATATATTAACCCAAGTGAGATTGGGTTTAAAATGCAGCAGGAAGGATTTAAGTTATGCCTAAGGTAGAACTTTCCAATATTTATTTTTATTAAATTGGCTCTTTCCCTCATGGCTTCTCGTGTAGGTCTTAGAGATGTCTTACAGGTTGTCAGGTGCATGGACTAATGTTCCTAATTCTACAGTCTCTTCATCTAGTGCCTTGGTAGAGCTAATAAGATGTAGTCCATCCTTGGAAGCATTAATACAGAGGAGTGAGGCCTCCTCCTGGAAGGATGCCTCTAGCTGAACCAATAGCTCAGGCCTCTGTGTCTCTGGGGGTGAGTTCATGCCCTTTAGGAATTCAGCTGTAAGCCATGTCTTGCTGAACCACAAGTGCTCTAGAAACACGTAGAGAGGGAGCTGAGCTCACTAGGCCCCCCTCAGGCTGATGATTCTAGGACTACTGACCACTGGATAGGAGTGTGAGAAAGCCCCAGGACCCTGGAGCCCTACCCACTACCACCAGGGTTGAAGAGGCGGGCCTAGCCTATAGAAGGAGATCCTGGAGAGCAGTGCCCTGGTTTTCCTTTATAGTATAGTGATTTTCTGTCTCCGCATTAGTGATTTTCCTGGGCCCAGAGCAGGTGCTTGTAGAGTACATAGATGCTGACTTAAGTCCCATTTTCCAAGGAGGGAGGGCTCTTGGCAAGGGTACCCATTGGTTTCTTCTGCGAGTCCTTCTGGAAGCCCTTCAGTATTCACCTCATCTGAGTGACCCTTGGTAGGAGTCAGAAGTCGTAGACCTAACCTTGTCCCAGAAGACTCAGACTAGACATGAGACTGGCACACAGACCCCAGAGCTTTCCAAGAAGTAAGAGTGGCTGTAGGTTTTCCAGGATAGTCCTGCCCCTAAGTCCCAGCTCCAAGCTTGAGGACGTGACTTGGCTCTGGAAGAACCAAGCAGGAGAGAAGCTGGACCAGAAAGAAGAGCAGTGGATGCATGGGTGCTAGTCAGTCATCTGGATGTTGGACCTGGAGTTGGCAACAAGCCTACTCTGGGCTCTGGCCCCTGTGTGCCTGAGGCAAAACACAGGGCAACTGCCTGCTGAATGTGGGGCTCTGGGTGCTGGCTGGACTGGGAAGAGGAGGGGCTGCCAAGAAGAACACAGATTCCATGAGGGCAGGGTTTTCATGTTTTTCCTCATGGCTGGATTCCTAGTTCTTAGAATGGAGTCTGGCACATTGTAGGCTGTCCATGAATAGCTGTTGACTAAATAAATGGAGGAGTCTTGGCACTCTAAGATGAAAGCTGCTGACCCAGAGCTCTTCCTCACCCTAACCCTCCACTCCCACCCCTCAGCAGACCAACTCTTCTTCTCTTTGGCTCAGGCCCTCCCCCTGCTGGGCAGTTCTTTGGTCTCCCAAGCAAGGAAAGGGTGTGGAGGTGCCAGCCGGGTGGGCATGCTGTGGGTTAAAGCCTTGCGAAACAACAGTGTAGTTAATCTTTCTAATTTATTTTCCTTTTAGACCATGGGAAGTCTGTAGGCAGCAGCTGTTACCCAATTAAAATACAGATTAATATAAAAACAGTTTCTGGAATATAAAATAGAGTGGCTGTGTCCTTACACTTCCTTAAAATACCACCTAATAATGACTTGATGAACTACAGAAACCCACCTAGAGGAACTCAGCGTTCTTAAAATGAAAATTTCTTCCCTAAAAGGTGTGTATTACCATTCCATGTAAGTCGCTACGAGAAAATAACCTTCCCTCTTAGAGCCAGCGGTTCCTGTGATTTGGGTATTTGATATTCATTAAATGTAATTATAGTTTAATTGGAGTTTAATCCCCCCCCAACACTTACAAAAAAAAAAAAGAAGTTCCCAAGCAAGCCTGAGATGCTGCTCTCTGTGGAAGTAGCCAGGGGCACATTGGGCATGGTGATTTCCTGCTGGATCCAAGTCTATGGATAGGGGCCTCCTGCCTCAGATCCCTGAGGCAGTCTGTCCTAGTCTGTGTCCGAGGGATATTTTCACTTCCAAACAATGCAAAGCAACAAGCTTGTTTGAAGCTAGGCCTGACCTGGGTGTAGCATAGGCCCGTGAGTCAGAAATTCTCTAGAGCAGATTCATACATTAGGCCTTTTCATCTGCATTAAGTTAAAGGTGTCTATTTCTTACTTGCCTAGTTGGTGTTGAGGGCCCAGGTATTTAGGGTGAAGGGTAGATGCCTGTGGGGCTCCCCTGGCTCTTCACTGATGTTACAGGGGGAAATGCTGGACATCAGAACCCAAGTATGGCTGTCCTGTGCAAGTATTCTCCAAGTTCTCTGGGAACTTCTGTGAAGCTTGGAGGTGAATTGACTTTAGATTGTAATTTGTAGGGAGTTATTGAGCCTATTGAATACAAAAGATACATAAAATCAGGTTTTTTTCAAAGTAAAAGCTGAAATAGGTATGAAACACACCCTGTGGTCAGTATGTAGGTGTGTATCCCCCTCTCAGGGCAGGGGGAATTCACCTTGTATCCTGGGACTTTATTCCCAAGGCTTCTGTCAGATTCTGAGCCTAAAGCAGTGCACACCAGAATCTTTTACAGTAGAAGGAGAAAAACAGAAAGAAAAGGATCCAGTCCAGTTTTGAAACCCTGTGCCCTCCGGTTCCACCTATTGGCTATTTCTCTTTCCTTTCAGCTCACCGGGATTATTCAAGCTATGGTGGATGGTCAGCCAAGCCTGCAGCAAGTACTGGAGGTAGGTTGAATGACCTTTAATTCCTGACCTCTGACCCTTTCCTGCTGCCTTTCTCTCCCTCCCCTCCTGAGAATGTAGCCGTGTAATTTGACTATGATTATGGCTTGATTAGAATAACATTTGCTGTCACATCAGTGACATGCTGTTGAGAGTATTGAACCATTGATCTGTCATCTCCAGCTGTTCCCATCAGGGTTACTGGCAAGATGTCCGAGTGCTGCCCTGAGATCCTCACAGGGCTCCCCACCCCCTCCTGGTCCCTGGCCCTCTGCTGGGCGGCATTGGCAGCCTGTGCTGGGCGGGTCAGGGAGTGGGGGGGGCTGAGCTGTGGCACTGCAGGACTAGCCCTGGGGACTGGAGGTGTTTTTGTTTAGCTTTAGTGTGGGCTTCCTGTGGCATGTGAGCACTTCATTAACTCACCCAGAACTCCCCATCGATGGCTTTTGTTTGCTGTCAGCTCCTCCAGGAGGTGCGGCTGGGCCCGCCTGCCCCACTGCAGCTTGCCGCTGGATGCGTTGTGACTGTCAGGGGTGCAGAGGCTGCACTGGGTAATGATTCCTAATCAGAATAATTACAACAATTGCCTATGTGAGGGAAATCAAATTAAAGGCTTTAGAACCCTTGGCAGAGACCACACTTCTAGGATGTTCTCCTCGGGGAGCTGGAAAAGGTTAAGATGCTGCTTCTTGTGCTCCAGCCTGAGGGAATAAAGAAGGGCTATGCTTGGCCTCAGCTAGTCTCCCACCCCTTCTGGCCTGGGGGTTTTCACCAAGGGAGAAGGTCCCCCTCCCGCTCCCTCCTCTCTAGAGGGAGGGGAGAAGAGAAAAAGCCTGTGGATCTCATTTGGTGCTTTATTTATCTTTAAGACCAGTAAACCCAAAGCTTAGCCCCTATCAAAGCACAAGAGAAAGCAGAGTGTTGGGGGGATAGCAGGGCACATCTGCATTGGAGGTAGGCAGCCTAGAGGAAGTTGGATGGTGGCAGGGAGAGGGAGGAAGATCTCTTTATTTAGCCAAGAGATTCTGCCCCATGGGAAAGAGAAATGCAGACTGAATTTCCTGGGGCTCCTCAGGATGGAGTCAGATTTAGGCTCACCTAGTGGCAGGTGTGCTCTCTGTTCCTGGGAGTGTATAAGCCTAGGCTCTGTGACTGGTCAAGCTCTGGGTAGGGTCAGCATTAGGGTACCTGCAATACATTGGGAGAAGATAAGATGAGCTCTGAGGTGTCCCCCAGCCCCACTGACCCTCTTTTTTTCAGGAGAGATTAACTCCTATGATTGAGGGGGCCCCTTAGCATGGATTGCACCCTGTAAGACTGGATTCAAGGAGAAAAAGGGGACCCATCCTTTCCTATGCCCCAGCCAGGGCCTAGCATGTGACGGAGGCCAGAGAGCAGGCAGCTTTTTTTCTTGGAATGTCTCTGGCCAGGATCCTAAAAGGAAGATGCCTGCTGTAGGCCAGCACCAAACTAGGGCTGTTGAAATTACGGGATTTTTTTTCTTCAGTGGTGCTGGTTGCCAGGGACCTGTGGTCTTCAGGAGGCTTCCTCCTGCTAACCCCAGGCCAGCCTGGAGCAGGGTGCTCAGATGATTCTGAGTCTCACCCAGGAAGCTACTTCAGCACACTGTGTGGGTAAAGAGGGAAGATTCCGGGCATCAGCCTGAATAGGGAGTCTCTGGCAAGGAGACTAGAATAGGCTCTGCTTTGTCCCATTAGCCCTGAGTTGGTCATACAGCTAAAAAGCTAACTTCTTGTCCTAACCAAGTCCCTGAGCAGGTGGCCAGCTAGATGTTTGCCTGACTAATTTGGTCCAAGTAGGACTCAAGCTAGACCTTCTGTAGCTGGGAGGGCTAGCCCAGCTGATTGGGGGTTTTCTCAGTGGTTCCTCTAGCTCTTTATCCATTCAAGCATAGGGGGAAGGAAAAGGGCAGACTTTATTCCAAATGTAGTATCTCTTCCCTGGACAGGCTCACAGTGGAATGTTTTCACTAAATATATATCACATGAGTGAATGGCCTACGTCCTAAGCTTCTGAAGGACCCCCTGTGAGTATTAAGTGCTTCTCATGGGGAAGACTTGGTCTTGCTGAGCATCGGCTCCTGACAGTCCTGTCTTGCTCTTATCTAAGAGCACTGTGCAGGAGTTGGGGCATTGGAGAGCCCCCCTGGAAGATGGGGCACTTCCCTTGGGGATTTAAGGCCAGTGAGCTGGAGCAAGGTTAGCTGACATAGGGAGCTCCAGGTTTGCCTTACCTCTTCTGTAAAGTCTTGGGAAAGGGTATACAAGTGTGCATGTTCATCTGTGCAAGTGGGCCATAGTGGCTGGGGAGACAAGCCATTCAGCAGTGGAAGGTCCAGAATGTAGCTTGCTGCAGAGACTCTTGGCCCAAGAGGGATTCTCTGGTGTACAGACTGAAGAGGGTCAGCACAGTCTGGCTCAGGGAGCAGCTCTGACCTCCTGGGAGTGGGACTGCTCTAGCCATGGAACCACATAGGATCCTTGGCCCTACTCAAAGACTGTGTCAGTGTGGACCAGGCCTCCAGGATCTCTGAGATGTCTGGGGAGCCAGCCTATACCTGCTAGAAGTCATCTTACTTCAAGATTTCCATGGACTCTCCATTACTTGCTGGAGTCTTCACAGTCTGGTTTAACCTAGCCCCCAGCCTCATTTCCTGTCCCTTCTTTCTACACACTGTAGACATTGGTCACACTATTCCCTACTCATATTTCAGTAAATCAGTAGGTATCTTGTGAGAAGGTACTGCAATAGATTAGGGATTAAGACTGTGAATAAGACAAATAAGAGTCCCTGCCTTCATGGTGCTTATAGTCTGGTGGGGAGGGCAGACATTAAGCACATAATTGCTTCTCAAATACAAAATGATTGTGCGTGTGCCTTTGCCTCTGCCTGTAGCATCTTTTCCTGTGTTCCATCCTGTCAAGCAAACCCAACCACAGAATCCCAAGTTCAGTTGTCTTCTTTGTGAAGCCTTCCTTTCTGACTCTTTACCCTGTAAAAGATAGAGCTAGCCACTTCGTCCTCTTGGTCCTATAGCATTCTGTTCACTTCTCCATGGTTGCATCTATTATATTGTATTATGATGATCTGCCTTTCTTGCCTTCTCAGCCTACTGTCTATTTTGTGGTAGGCACTTAATACCTTATTACATTTAATTCTCAAAACAACCCTGTAAGGTTAGTCATCTGCCTCATTTTATAGATGAAGGAAACTGAAGTTCAGAGAGATTAAATGACTTTTAAATGACTTCCCATCAGTGACACAGCCAGGATATGGAAGAGTCAGGGTTAGAACCCAGATGTGTCTGACTTTCAATCCTATGTTTCTAGCTTCTTTGCCTTTAAAAACTAATCCTTCTGCCTGAGTGGAGCAATGGTGATCTGCTATACTCTCACCCCATGCCTGGGATCTTCTGAAAAATAGGCAATATTTCATGAATTCTTTATGATAATTCTCTCATTATATACTGATTTTAATGTTTGTACTTGCAGTGTGAGTGCAAATAATAAAACTGATCAAAGGGATGAAGGGAAAGAAATACTTATAGCATGTTTAGGAACAGTTTTTATCTCTGTCTAGGAATTGAGCTCAGCCTTCAATAGAGTCCACCGAATTTGAATCTGAATCCTCAACCAGGAGAGGAGAAACATGAAGCCTGGGGCCAGTTTATGAGCTTTTAGTAACTAAAGCAGGCAATGCAATCCCAGAGATCAAGAAGGGGTTCCAGCCCAGCAAGGGAGCTTTTTTTGCTAGACTCACGGTGAAGATTAACTTTACTTTCATTGGGGGGAATCACCAAATTCATAAATGTGGTTAATAAATGTTTGGTAGGAGGATGAAATGAGTGAGTGAATGAAGAAACCTGTGGATTGGAGTCCCTCCTTGAGGCCTCCTTCCAGCCTGTTCTCATGGCCCAGGGCAACCTGTGTCTGTGCTAGGCTCTGCTTTTGAGGACCAGCCTACTGGGATATGTCCTTATCCTGTCTGGGGCAGGCAGTGGGACAGTGGAGAGACTCCCTCCTCCCCTGACTCGGGCTTGTGGATCTTCCTGCAGGGATTGTCCTCCCTGTGCCCCCACAGCCCTGAGCCAAGGCTGAGAGCAGAGCCATGGCTGGATAAGATTACAGATTTTTCCTGCTCTGATTACAAGCAGCTTATCTGCGTTTCACTGTTGTGGCTCTTCACAGACTCAGGAAGAAAAAAAAGAGGGAAATCTCATCTGTTCTTGTTGTGTACTTTTCAGAGGGTCGATGAGTGGATGGCGAAGGAAGGCCTCTTAGATCCAAACGTCAAGTCAATTTTTGTCACCTGTGGAGACTGGGACTTGAAAGTCATGTGAGTACAAGAAGGACTACTTTGCTGTCAGGGCTTGGAATCTGTGGGGCCAGGTCTTCCTTTCACAGGCTTACACATCCAAGCCTACAGGGCAGCTGAGTTAGGGAGTGTCTGGATCTTGGGGGCTGCCAAGGTGGGAAGAGGGCTGGGAGCCCTGCCTTCTGCCTCTGGAACAAGGAATAGTAGACAAGTCAAGGACCCTACTGGGACTGCTGTTGTCGGGGCCTTCTGGCCTTTGCCAGGTCCCACTGCTCAGGACAGCCCTTCCAGTTGTGGGGTTACTTATTGTCCTGGAAGGAAGGAAGGAAGGAAGGAAGGAAGGAAAGGAGAGGAGAGGAAGGGGTTAAAAGAAGATTCTTTTTCTTTTCTTTTCTTTTCTTTTCTTTTTTTTTGAGAGAGAGAGAATGAATCTTAAGCAGGCCTTAGGCCCAGCATGGAGCCCAATGTGGGGCTCAATCTCACAACCATGAGATCATGACCTGAGCTGAAATCAAGAATTAGGTGCTTAACTGACTGAGCCATCAAGGTGCCCCAGATCCTTTTTTTTTTTTTAAACCAAATATATAGCATTTACTACTCTTAGTGCTTTAGAAATAGTAACTCATTAATAAACGCTGGTACTTTTATTCCTGTTTTATGGATAAGAAAATTAAGGCACAGAGTGGTTAAGTAACTTACCCAAGAACACACAGAGCCAGGATTCAAACCCAGGCAACCTGACTCCAGGGTCCTTTCTCTTAGCTATTATGCCATCCTACCCTTTTATCTGAAATACAAAGCCCTGATGATTCAACTGAGGGCCCAGTGGTGGAATGAGAGAGGGCTGCTTATAGGGAGCTCCCCAAGTCCCCAGCCTCCTTGTCCCTCCTTTGTCCCCACTGCTTTTTCTTCTTTGTCTCTCGGTCCTGCCCTGGTTATAGAAGACAGAACTGGTTCCTTTGCCGGGTTGACACTTTTGCCTCTTGTCTATCCTTATGGATACCTGGCTTCAGACAGCCCCCAGGGAGCTAAAGCGGGGTGGAGGTGGTGGGGGCACTGTTTGCTGAGGATTGATAGAATCGATACCTCTGTGTTCTTTGTGACCGAAGGCAATAGCAAGCATTCTGGGTGTGTGTGTGTGTGTGTGTGTGTGTGTGTGTGCGCGCGTGTGCACACAAGCTTCGTGCATAGGGTGGGGTATTGGTGGGGGGTGGGGAATAGTGGCTCTGGAGTAACATTTCCTACCAAATTAGGTATTATCCTCTTACCAAGCTCCTTCTTTATGCCTTTTGGATGCTAGGTATTGAGGTGAAGTTATGCATTCAGGTGGATGTCAAGACTGCTACAGGACACCAACTCCCTAAGTGAGACAGGAAGAGGAACAAGCCCAGATCACATATACACCCACACACCTCATCTCCATATCCTTTAGGTCATGTACGCACATTGACCACATACGTCTAGGTGTGTGCACATGACTCCCAGAGCTCCAGAGGATCTTTGTGCTCCCAGATGACACTCGTGTGTCAGGGAAATTATGGAGGCTGGATCTGGAAGCAGATATGAATCAGGGGAGGGTTCCATGGAGAAGGCGAGGAGGAGGAAGGCTGTTGTTCTTATTTATGGCATCTTGGAAAGCTCTGAGCACTTGAAGCAGAGAGGGATTTAGGTGGATTTCAGCAGCACAAGAGAAGCTATTTGGGGTGGCAAGGTTCAGGCTGATACCTAGCATCTGGGGCTCATGTAGCCTAGTCCAGAGGCCTAGTTTCTCCAGATAACCTCCCAGGACTCCCACTCTTCCAGTGGTTTTCACTCTTTGGTGTGTTCATATCCCAGGCACCCACATTTCATTTCAGAATGTTCTGCATTAAGTGTGAATGGCACGTGCATACATGTGTATATGAAAACTTCCCTGTGCATGCATGCAGGGACTATCTGGCCGGGCCTCCTAAGCTTGGAGTTGGTTTCTCCATAAGAAGAAGAGGGAATTTCAGAGGATGTTGTCTTCTTTGGCCCATTCTGGCCTGCAGCACCAGTTTAGCCCAGTGGGCCCAGAACAGATTTTGGTGTCTCAGGAGGCTGCTTTGAATCTTCACAAAAAATGATGTAATCAAGAAGAGGGATTGGGTCATTGAATCCAAACATACAGGAAAACAAACCAAATTTTAATGAGCATGTACCATATCTCATTCAGTCCTTCTAACTATCTTCCCTGGTAGAAGGTGGTATCTCCCTTTTATAGAGGCAAAACACAAAGTAGTATTTACAACTGAGGCCCAAAATGGTAGAGATTCATAGCTACACAGAATTGAACTCTAAGGCCATGTTGCTTCTAAAAGAGATGGGTTGCGGAGACTTTGGTAGCTGGTTTGGGTTTGTATTGAAAAGGCCAGTGAAGCTCTGAAAAAGAATATGCAAGAGGGAAGCAGATGTCAGGTGGCAGGAGTTGGGGGGAGGAGAGCTTTGTGGCTGCCTTTTAGAAGCAGGACTCCGCATAACTGCTGGGAAGGCTCTTAATTAAATGTGTAACAAAATAAAAACAGCCAGAGAGGAAACCTAAGTAGTGCTGCGTGACAGTGCACAGCTTATCGGTGTTCCTGGAACCTCTCGTCAGATGGCTCTCGTCAGAGCCATCACCTTTTTATGCGCCTGGTAAAGGCTGCTGATGAGCCTGACAAGGGTGGTGTTAAATTGACACCCGCAACTTGTTAGTATGTGGCTTACTTCTTATTTTGACATCCATTTTCAGACTTAACTAAGTCTAAGGAATTCAGAAAATATTTTCATTTCCCACTCTAGTTTTCTGGAGCCATGGCTCCTTCTCATTGCTGCCCTTCCCCTCTCTCCCAACACCCACCCCCAACCAGCTTCACATCACTTTTGTTGGAAAGGGCCTGATTAGTGAGGCACTGAGAAATGGGAACTGAAGTGGCAGCGGAAATCCCACTGGAGAAAAGAAATCTGCTCCCGTCCCGACAGAATCATTTTGTGTCCATCTTTTGTCAAAGCCAGATGAGTTGATACTCTGTGGGCTTTGATGCTGTAGTCACAGATCCTGCTGAGGTGGGTTTTAATTTAGTGGGCATGGATTTAATTTTCCTTCTCAACTTGTTTAAGAAATGACACTTGTTATGGCTTCGACCCTTGGTCAGCTTGCCTCCCCTACCTGACCTACCTTTCCTTTGCCTTACCTCATGGTTCTTGAAGCTCCTCATGGGGTTTAGTGTTCTTTCACCAATCTTCTGTCTTCTCTGCCTACCCAGGCAGGGAATGCCTCTGTAGGTTCCAGCTTTGACATGGCAGCAGAGATCCTGCTGGAGAAAAGCAATCTGCTTTATCTGCCATCTGAACTCCAAGCTTTCACATCCAGCTACTGATTCTGTTTCTCCACCTAGGTGCCCACAGTCCCCTTAAAGCTCAGGTGTCATCTTTCTCCCAACACCTAGTCCTCCAACTTGCTCTCAAGTTGTGACTGGAACCTCTACCTGGTATTTCTGTCAGAAACCCGAGACTCATCCTTGATTCCTTTTCTCTAGTCACAACCAATTAATTGCCAACTCTTGTTGATTCTTCTTGCCAGAGGTTTCTCAAAGTCATTGCCTTCTTTCCATCCCTGCTACCACTGCCCTAGTTCAGGTCACCATATTCTTTTTGGAATACAAAAGTGCTCTAGTCTTTCTGACCCCAGTTTTACTTCTTTTGTGCCATTCTCCTAATTGCAGCAAATTATGTCACACCTCCGCGCAATACCTTCAAGGCTTCCTCTTGCCCTTACGGCAAAGTCACACAGTTTATTGAGGCCTCAAGGCTCTTGCTTACTTCTCTAACCTCATCTCCCTGACCCCAGTCAGATGCTCTAGCTAGCCAGTTCCTTAGGATCCATCTTTAAAAAAAATTTTTTAATGTTTATTTATTTTTAAGAGAGAGAGAGAGAGAGAGCATGAGCAGGGGAGGGACAGAGAGAAAGGGAGACACAGAATCAAAAGCAGGCTCCAGGCTCTGAACTGTCAGCACAGAGCCCAACACGGGGCTCAAACCCACGAACTGTGAGATCATGACCTGAGCCGAAGTTGGACGCTTAACCGACTGAGCCACCAGGCATCCCCCTTAGGATCCATCTTAATGACATTTTCTAGGTGCTTTCCTGTGTGTTTCTGGAATGTATTTACTTATACATGAATTGTATAAATTCTACTTGTCTGTATCTTTCACTAGATTGTGGGCACCATTATAACTTTGGACAATGTTTGACATGTAGTATTTCAATAAATATTTGTTGAATAAATGACAGCTAAGTAATGGAGTGGGCCTATGGAATCCATACTTAGGAAGAATGACAGAGGGATCAATGGAAGGTAGATTCAGGGAGAATGGAACAGAAGAAGAAATCTTGGGCCTTCCTGCAGTGTGAAGGGTTGAACTGTGCTGTTAATGCAAGTTGTTCCTGGATTTTCTCACTGCCAGTAGTGGGTGTTGGGTCCTCCCTCCATGGTGGGTACTGGGTAAGATGGCCCGTAGGCCTGGGCCATGGAGGAGTTTGGTCTTAGGAGCAGGGTGAAGGGCTTTCTCTGAGAGATTTGTGCCTTCCAAGACTGAGGGCTGGGATTGCTCTGGAAGTTTTATATTAGATAATAAAGATAGTCAGCATTTATTGAGCACTTATTATATACCAGGAGTTCTGCTCTGCTATTTACACAATCTCATTTAATTCTACTGCAATCTTAAGGAATAAATTCTTTTTATAACCCTTTTTTTTTTCCTTAAATAAATGATGAGGAAACTGCAGCCCAGAGAGGTAAGTTATTTGTCAAGGCCTCATACAAGTTTGTGGCAGGGATTTGAACCTAGGCATTCTGACTCTAGAAACCATGTGTTTAACCACTATGCCATCTGACCATCTGCTTTTGTCTTTCATGGCCCATGGCTTTGTGATATGGTGGGAATGCCTTTCTTTCCTTTGTTTGCACTGAGTGGCAGATGTTCTCTGACACCCTAGGCTGCTGGTACCTGATCTGGTGTTG